GCCTCCGCAGACCACCATCTCCCCTCCTTCCCCGCCGCGACTACCGACGCGTCGAGCCATTCGCTCAGCCCGTTGCAGCGAGCAGCTTGCTACTCGCGAGGACCTTGTGTCCTCTCTTCTGGACTTGAGCATGCTCCAGGCTCGTCAGGAGCGACTCACCCTCCATGTCGCTGCATTGCGTCGCCTTCTCGCCATCCTCTCTGACCCTGATCGCACCCTCCCGATCATCCTAGTACGACTCGGGACCTTCACGAGGGTGTTCTCAGCGCTGTGGGATTCCGGTTCTCAGGGCAACTTCATTCACCCACGCGTGGTGAAGGAAACCCGCTTACCCACGACAGGGTCTCCGACTCCCATCTCCGTTACCCTAGGGGATGACAAGACCTAGCACTTCTTCGATCAGACGGTCACCAACCTCCCCTTCTTCCTCACTCTCGAGCCGACTGATCGTTCCCCGGCGTCTCATCGCCACCGCTGCTCTGCACATTTCGATGTGATGGAGACGGGGTATGACTTCATTCTCGGCACTCCGTTGTCTCGTCGGTTCCGCAGCACCGACGCCGATTGGGCGACCAACACTCTCGTTCTAAAAACGAAGTGTGGACAGACGTATCGCGTACCTTTCATAGGTACCACGGCGACACCGCGCCCCRATCCTCCTCCCCCGGAGCCTTCAGTGCSYACACCATCTCCCTCTATCACTGTCACCTCGCCTCGGCAGTTCGCTCACTTCATTCGCCAGGACGACGTCACCTTCTTTATGGTGGACGTGACGGATCTCTTACACTATGATCCACCCTGTCCCGACGCCGAGCTCATCCCTCCCGAGGCAGATCCTCCCTTTATCTCCATGGCTCCCATCTCTACTTTCGTCCCTCTGCCATCCGTCGAGTCCACCCCGCCGTCGCGCGCTGACGCTAACGCTAAGGAACTCGCACAATATACGGCTGACCTGGAGCCCGCAGTTCGTAACCTCATCCGAGAGTACCACGACGTTTTTCCATCGTCGTTCTTGTACGCCGGCATCCCACCGATGGGTGACGTCGAGCACTCCATTCAGCTTGTGCCTGACTATCGTGTTCACCACCAGGCACCCTATAGACTCTCGATTCCCGAGGCCACCGAACTCAAGCGTCAGCTTGAGGAACTCCTGAGACTRGGTTTCATTAAACCCAGCAAMTCCCYGTRGGGTGCACCMGTCCTCTTTGCTCGCAAAGCGGATGGAACTCTCCGTCTCTGCATCGACTATCGCGGTCTCAACCGCTACACGGTTAAGAACAGCTACCCCATGCCTCGTTCTAATGAGTTGTTCGACCGCCTAGCAGGCAACTGCTTCTTTACGAAGATTGATCTTGGTAGCGGTTACCATCAGATCCGCGTCGCTGCAGCAGACCAGCCGAAGACAGCGTTCCGATCCCGCTTCAGCCACTACGAGTTTACGGTGATGTCATTCGGCCTTACCAATGCACCCGCCACCTTCCAGAGGGCGATGAACGACATCTTCAGGGACATCCTGGAGCAGTATGTTCTCGTCTACCTCGATGACATCCCGGTCTACAGTCGTACCCTTGAGGTACACCTCAGACACCTCCGCGATGTCCTTGACCGCTTGCACAGACATGGCTTCTACGCCAAGCTGAGCAAGTGCCGCTTTGCCCAGCACAAAGTGGATTTCTTAGGACACTACGTGTCTGACCAGGGTCTCCACATGGACGACGCGAAGACCACCGCTATTCCGGAATGGCCCGCCTCCACATCCGCCAAGCAGCTTCGCAGCTTCCTAGGCCTGACCAGCTACTATAGTAACTTCATCCGGGGATACGCTAGGTATTCCTACGTCCTTACCTCCACCCTCCTCCGGAAAAACCCACCCTGGGCTTGGACACCCCTCCACGAGGACGCCTTCCGCGCCCTCAAGAAGGCGGTGACATGCGCACCGGTTCTTCACCTACCCAATTTGACCGCCCTTTTATCCTTACCACCGATGCGTCAGACTTCGCTGTAGGATCAGTGCTTTCTCATGTCTTCCCCTCCTTTCCTGATTCCTCTCATCCCCGTATTCCTTGCTTCCCACCACCTACCCCTACCATTGCTTCCCGACTGACGACTACTCGTCCAGCTACCGACGAGCCTTCTATTGACTATTCTCCTACCATCGCCGAGGACGGCACTGTCGAGTCTCGCTCAGGTCATTGTCCGATAGCCTTCTACTCCCGTCAGCTCATGCTAGCCGAGATAAACTGCACTGTTGATGAACGTGAGGTTCTCGCAGTAGTTTATGCCGCTCGGCACTGGCGTCACTACCTGCACTGGGCACCGTTCACGGTGCGTACGGACAACACTGTTGTCCAGGCTTTTTTTCTGACAAAACCGAAGCTCACTCCTCGACAGGCTCGCTGGTGGCGTGACCTATCCGAATTTAGTTTTACCACTGAGCACATCAAGGGTGAAACTAGTCGGGTCGCAGATGCCTTATCCCGGCGCCCTGACCACGACCAGGAGCAGATCCAATCTCTTCCATCTCGGTCACCACTGTCCACCACTCGGTGATCGACGAGTTTCGCACTTAGTACCGTCACTGCCCCGACTATCGCGACATCCACGCGACCCTTCGGAGTGGCAAGACCGTCCCAAACTACTCTCTCGGGGACAACGGCCTCGTGTACTGGCACGGTTCACAGGGCACCAGAGAGCCCCGTATTTGCGTTCCCTCCACTGGACAGCTACGTGTCCGAGCAGTAGCAGAGTTCCATGACCAGGCAGCCGCCGGTGATATGGGCTTCCACAAGACGTTGGCTCGTGTGAGCCGCCTGTACGTCTGGCCGAAGCGCAAGGACTTTGTGAAGGACTACGTCGCAGAGTGTCCCACCTGTGTGGAGGTGAAGAGTGCGAACCACCTGCCTTATGGTTTGCTCCAGCCTCTTCCTATCCCTGAGGGTCGTTGGCAGCCCATCTCGATGGACTTTATCGGTCCTCTTCGTCCTCCAACCCCTCGCGGTCATGATGCTATCCTGATCGTCGTCGACCGCTTCACGAAGCGTGCACGCTTTGTTGCGTGCCGCTATGCCATCAGGTCACGTGAGGTCGCCGACATCGTGTTTGACCGAGTCGTGCGTGACTACGACTTACCTCTGAGCATCATATCTGACCGTGACCCGCGCTTTACCAGCCGATTCTGGCGACGACTCCACGAGGTGTACGACACTCAACTCTGCTTCTCCTCGTCTTACCATCCTCAGACTGATGGTCAGACCGAGATCACGAACAGGACTCTCGAAGATATTCTTCGAAAGATTGTTTGTGACGACCAGTAGTGGGATCGTCATCTTGCCCACGTGAAGATAGCCTACAACCACGCCTTCTCGCCAACCACGGGGATGTCGCCTTACTATTGTGACCTCGGCTATCGGTTAGGGTGGTCCCCTCACGCGCCGCCGCCTAGTGGTCCCACCAAGTGCTTATCATCAACCCACCTAAGCCACCTTCTAATACAACTTTCGTGGCCAAGAATGACTCATAGAATGACTGAGAGAATGCCCAAAGGCGCCTGTTTGGCGTTGTTCTGTTCTCGTCCGTCCAGCACAACTGATCGAGAATGTAGATGAACATAGACCGGAACCGGTCCAGTAACGCGACGCTACCGACCACGGATTTGCACTCCATATCCATACTACCGTGTTCACCCGAATATAACACCGGGACAATATATCCGTATTCGGTGCAATTTTCAGTCCTGATACGGCTATAATGACCAGGCGTTCTATGTGTGAAGACGGCAGTCTCGTTGGAAGCGTGGACGAACGGGCGGTTATCGTTCTGATTGATCAACGGAGAGGACCAGATCCGACGACGAGGAGGCACCTTCCCTTCGTGGACGAAAGCGTGGACGAACGCCTGGTTGCAGGAGCCAAGGAAGAGAGACTCGTCGAGACTCTTCGAAGTATGGCAAGTGTCGAGTGATTGAACTGTCCTTCCTTCTTCTCGAAGATACTTACGAAAATTCTGATACCTATGTCCCACTCTCTGACCGAGAAATTGTGCCGAACACCGTAGAGAGGGAGACTCGCGCTCGACCATCGCCCGTTCGTCCTCGGCCCATGAGTAAGAAAGAAAGCAAGGCTATGGCCGCCGTCGCCGTGGCTGCCAGGGTGAGTCTGGACGGGCGACTGAAGTGAGGATGAAGGATGTTATAAGCGAGACTACAGATGTCACGAGCACAACTCAGATCCCTCATCCCACTTGCGGATCTGAGCCTCGCCATCCCCTCATACCCTAAGCGTCAAGCTACAAGAGAAATGTGAAGCATACGGTCGCCTACCCTCCCAATTCGTTTTCTCACACGTAAGCTTCCGACGTCATTGCAAACAGAAAAACACTTGAAACGATGAAAGAGGATGAAGCAGACCGCTTAGTTACTCACTAAACTCCTTTGGTACTATAGCGTCTCTCTCTCTCTCTCTCTCTCTCTCTCTCTCTCTCTCTCTCTGTGTGTGTGTGTGTGTGTGTGTGTGTGTGTGTGTGTGNGTGTGTGTGTGTGTGTGTGTGTGTGTGTGTGTGTGTGTGCCCGCGCGCTATCTATCCCCCTGTCCAGAGTCGTCACAGGTTCCCGGCGCAAGGGAGGAAGCGAGAGAAAGCGAGAAGGGAAACCTGGAGAAGAACACAGGGGATGGGAAAAACGTGCTGAGATGACGTATCGACGAGTTTGGGTGCTTGCGTGGATGCCGAAGCTCAGAGTAAAAGCAAAGCTGTTGGCTCGCGTGCCGAGGGCGGTGGCGTCTACCTTTCACTTGCCCGTTGCATAGTTAGAGCACCAGCGTTGCTGTACACAAAACGTTCCACGCGTCAAGCGGCTTCGCTCTCTCTCAATGGATTGACGTCGAACGCAGTCCTGCGCTTGTGAGCATTCTCTCCTCTCCCTCAGGAGTCAGGGCTTTTGGACTGAGTGTGCCGTCCGTATATGAAGTCAATCTCGTTGTTTTTTTCCATTCTTGGGAAGACACAAATTATAGCACAATTCAGTAGACAAAAAATTCAAGTTGGCGATCTCGCCTGGGGCCAAGTCCCACTAGCAGCGTTGAGCTACCTCAACGCCTGAATCTGGACGTGCTTGTGGAGACGTGGAGTTCAGGAAACTCAGCACCATTTCTGCACATCTGCGCGAAAGCGTCCAGATTCAGGCATTGAGGTAGCTCAACTCTGCTAGTGGAACTTGGCCCCTGGGGTCATTCCAGTCCAGCATACGGTATATGAAGTCAATCTCATTGTTTTTTTCCATTCTTGGGAAGACATAAATTATAGCACAATTCAGTAGACAAAAAATTCATGTTGGCGACCTCGCCTGGGGTCAGCATACGGGCCACGCCACCCAGTCACCAACTGTGCAAAATGAGAAAGAATTTGCCACTGGAACGTGGAACAATACACGGCTATTGTTTGTCTTTTTCCTTTTTTTTGACATGCTAATCTTCTCTGTACCTTTCCTCTCTCTCTCTCTCTCTCTCTCTCTCTCTCTCTCTCTCTCTCTCTCTCTCTCTCTCTCTCTCTCGTGGCCGCCCACTCCCGCTCCGTCTCGCGCTCTCTCTGCTGCCCGCTCGCCAGTCTCGCGCTCTCTCTGCTGCCGGCTCGCCAGCCTACTCCAACTGCTCACGGCCGAATCTTGCAGTGGACTTTTATTTCTGCGAATTCTGAACTGTGCAGCGGTCACAGGCGCAGTTTTTTCTTTCTTTTTTTTTTCTTTTTTTTTTTATGAACAACCTGAGCGGTTGCTGGGGGTGCTGATAGGAGCAGACTCAGCAGGCACCCCCAGCACGTTCGGGGAGGCTCCATCTATTGGTGGGGAGCCCGGAGCAGCACCTGCTGGAAATCGGGTCCAACGTCCCTGTAGCGTACAATGTGATGAATGAAAACATGCCAGCAGGAGCTGACAATATGCATGAGGGGTCCGGGCTATGAGGAGCCCGGCCTTACTATGGCGTATAGACTGTCAGTTATCATCTATATCCTTATTAACTTATTCTGATATGTCTAAAGCTATCTATAACTGTACTTGTGCCAACGCCCAATGGCTCCTACTGTGTGAGGTGTAGTTGAGGTGTGTGATTGAGGATGTTTCTGAGTGTATTGATTATCTCCTAGATGGCTGTGGGTATAAGATGTGGCTGAGTATATTCGGGAGTGTGTGCTCTCCGGCATGCTCCTGGGTATGAGTCAGTTATTTAACAGACAGATCCACGGGTAACTAGTCCCTCCTTTTTTTGTCCAATCTGCACTTTTATCTTCCACCACCCAGATCACCCAGTTCATGCTCCCTGCTTCTGGCTCTGATCGTCCTCTAGTGACTCCGTTAGTCCCAATTTTTTTTTATCTTCAGTTCCGTGAGGAATTCTGATGTAACCCTCAGCCAAAGTTGTTTGTATTGCAATTCTACACAACATATTGTTTTTCAGTTTGTTTGTTTTTTTTTGCGTGCGTGCACAAGGCCGCCCGGGCCTATGCTCGGGGGTCATGCCCGGCCGGTCACGCGGTCGCCAAACCGGGCGTGACGTCGGGACCCGGGCGCCCGGTATATCTCCCTTGAGATAAAAGGGAAAATTTTCAAAAAAGATTAAAAAAACACAATAAAAAGCCAGAAAAAATCCTCCTCTTTTTTCTTTTTTCCAGTTTTGGTTTTTGACACACACACACATACTGATTGACTGATTGATTGATTGATACAAAAAAAAAGAGAAAAAGTGTGCAACCACGTGTGTGTGTGTGTGTGTGTGTGTGTGTGCGCAGGGGGTGGGGCAACCCCTCCCCCACCAGTCAGTCAATCAATCAATTGAAAAAATAAAGAAGTGAAAAAAAAAAACAGCGGTTGGTTTAACCTCTGTGTGTGTGGGGGGGGGGGGGGGGGGGGCGGCCCCGGCGGCGGCGACCCCTCCCCCACCGATCAATCAATGAATCAATCCACCAAAAAAAAACGAAAAAAAAGAAAAAAAAGAAATAGTGGGTTCGTTTGACCTGTGTGTGTGTCTTTGTATGTGTGTGCGGGGGGGAAGGGGCAAACCCTTCCCCACCAATCAATCAATCAATAAATCAGATAATTACTGAATCAAAAAATCAATCAATAAAAAAATCCAACACAAAAAGTCAATCCATCAAAAGTTTTTTATTTTTATTTCGAAAATCGTCAACCGAGATTATTTTCTTGTGGAAAAAAATTAGGAAAAGGAAAGAAAGACAGCATACGAACCTGGCTGCCTTCAGATTCATCCACAACGGGCCATAAGTGCGGTCAGATGCATTAGCGTGAGACTACCTTGTAATGTGAGGGGCTGAGAGACACTTGATTGCTCCCCGTCTCTCATGGGGAGTCGCATCAGGAAGATCCGAGGTTCTTCTTCCTAGTAAAAAAAAAGAAGGAAAAGGAAAAGCCCAGCTGTGCGGAACACAGCGCTGCAAGGAAAAACAAACAAGCCACTGGTCAAGAAGGAGAGAGCCCCGGTTCTCAGAAATATAGTCACAAAGAGATTGGGCCCTCTCCTGATGSGTACTTACCAAAGAGGAATCAACAGGTRAACCTGGAATGGAAAGAAGTAAAGAGAAAAAAAAAAAAAAAGAGAGCGCAGAAAGTACMAATCCGGAACATCAGGCCCACCAGCAGGTTCAGCAAGGCTCTCTGGCCCAACAAACACAACAGGACTCCCAGGCTTCGCACTCTCAGCATACCCCCAGGTTGTCCTCAACCAWCATGACCAGGAGGAAGTTCAACAGCTTCAGGCTTCGCTCGCTAGTCCCCCTTCGCCTGAGGCAGAGGCCATGGACTTGGACACTCTCTAAGAAGTGTTTGTACCTGATGAGAYGGAGGTAGAAGCAGCACCAGTAACTGCCTCCCYTTTCGAAGTAATGAGAGTGAAAGTGGATAGTACCGATTCCCTGRCTGACCTGCAGACCAGCTTACWGAGAATGATGATATGGGTCACAGCTAATCTCAAATTTAAATATGCAGCAATACCTGACTTGGACCGAACCCTCGTTCAGGAATGGCTTTCTCAACTGCTGAATGGCAGCGATAGTCTCAAGTTCGCTCTCCAATATGGCCGTTCATCTGGTTCGGAATGGAATGACATGTGCAACAAGTTAAACCGCACATAGTCACTCARAARATGCTGCCCCAGTTTAGCCCGAGTAACGGTCAAGACCCAACAAGTCCCCCTGTCCTCCAGAACAATACAAAGGACCAACCTATGCATGCGCAAAGAGTCAAAGGAGGCAAAAGGATCAAAGAATTGGTGAGGCGGAAAGGAATCTTGACGGAAAAGCAGCAGATTGATAAGATCACGAAAGGAAAGAAAAAACATACCTACCGTCGGGATCCTCCCAGAAAAACCTGCAATCACTCAAACCTGC